GAAGGGTACCAGTCCGTTAGGTGGTCATCCATATGAACCCGCCATCTTCTTCCAAGATCCACTGGTGAAGTTCGCCACCAACACCACACATCCTCAGCTTGTGGAGCAAGATCTCATGGTTCACTTTCTCGAAAGCTTTACTGAAATCAATGTAGATAACATTCACTGACTTACCCCGGTGCAATGCATGCAACCATTCCTGCCGCGTCAACAGCAGGTTGGTGATGCAAGCGCGGCTCTTCATGAAGCCATGCTGTGCCGGCGTTAGATTCTTCGAGTCCAGCATTTGAAAAAGACCCTTTTTCATGATCTTCTCGAGCAACTTCGCCAAAACAGAGGTGAGACAAATCGGCCGGTAATTGTCCACATTGTGTAGGTCACGCCTTTTTGGAATCCACTTCACTATTGAGCATTTCCAGTCGCTCGGCAATGCACGTTCGGATAGCGATAGCTTGAACAGATCCGTCATAGCAGGCGAGATGATGGCCGATAAGGACTTTAAAATTAGCTGGTGAAGTCCATCGGGTCCGGCTGGTTTCGTGCCGTCAAGGCTGGCGAGTAGACTGTGGAGATCTTCTAAAGACTGCGGACATTTGCTACAAACTGCGTACATCTCATACAGTGTAAGGATTTGCATCAGTTGACTCAGACGCATAAAATATCATGAGGCTGACACGCCGCTGGTCGCTGACAGTTGCCGTCTCTTTCTTCCGTCCCTACATTTTCCAATGGCTTTCATTGCCTATGCTGTCGCACGGCGGGATGTTAGTACGAGTAGGATGCAAAACAGACGCACTAGTTGAGGCAGCAGTGTACGAGATAGACATCGTTCGGGGGAGCTGGCAAGCGACGGGCAGGTAAACTCGTTCGAACATAGGGGCGGATTGGTCTTCTAATGTTGGGATGAACTCACGGACTTCCTCGCTATGGGACGTTTCGGTCTTCAAGTTGCTTCACTAGATTTCTTGGCTATGGGACAGTGCACTATAGCTTGACACTTCCCAAACAATGTTTGAAGAAACGCAAGCCGAAATCCGCGCATAAGTAGAAATTACCCTATGGATAAACCAACGGACGATATGTGGAAATGCAAGTGGTAAACGAGGTATGTGGCCGCATCAGCTCTGTGTGCAACAGTTCTGCAACAAGTGTCAAAAGCAGTCTGCTTCGTCCTTATGAACAGTTAAGCGGATATGACGGCAAAACAACAAAACGTGTAGATCCGACACTTATTCAGGAAAAACAAATTCAGAATTGCAAAAGACGGTATTTGCCAAGAACTAACGGAAAAAACTTCTATGCACAAAGTAGTAAACAGAGCAAAACGGCCTGACAACAGACTAAGAAAATCTGCAGATGATGACCATGAATGTTGGATTTCTGAACAGCATTCTAGTAGCCCGCCCGTCCCTGCTCATACGAACGTGGCGCCGGTGACGTTCGTCCCGAAGACGCCGGTAGTCCCGAATCCGGGAGAATTCACCTCAATAACCGACACGCAACGAGTGCACAAAACTTTGGCTGACAGGTGGCTCCCATCAGTACTGCAATATCGATAACAATTCCGACTTTTTGAGAAAGATAACTCGTTCGTGGCGCCGGAAATTCTGTATGCATGCATGCATAAGACATGCGCACGCAAACCGCCAGAACATTTCGTTTGCCACACTTGATATAGTGAAAGATTTCGATTTAATCTAGCAGGACACGTTTAACCGGGATGGAACCACTTTCGGCGCTGCAGATCCTCTTCTAGCTCATGTACATATAAATAGTATTCAGGCAAGACGTGACTCGACAATATGAATGTCCACATGGAACAAGGAGTCAGGGCAAACCTATTTGACCAGTGCTTCTCATCCTGGATTTAGATGTAACACTTCAACACACACCCACTTCGGATGGTATGGGGGAACTGGTGATGGGTGGAGGTTAAACTCACCAAGAGCGCAAATTGCAGCGGAAGTTGTAGAGATAGTGGATAACAATCAGCACACTGTAACTAGCGGTGCAGGCACCCCTTTCCTAGCAGACGGAACAGTTGACCATGACGCACGCCGAAGCTTATTGACCAACCAATCAGAGCGGGCTAACGATGTCGCTTCACTTTGAACGCTACCAAGGACGATCTACCTTGAAGTCCTCCAGTGAGCGCCAGGCCATTCCCTTATTAACTTTTGATTCGACCCCATTATTTGATTTCCTTATACGGCTTGCCGAGTGCTCAATACAGTTTCATCTTTGGCTTTTGCCTTCTAATCTGGAAAAGTCATCCGGTCAGCTTGCACACTAGCAGCAGGTTATCCATCTAATCAACGGAAAGCACAACAGTAAATGAGTATGGATAAACGATGGGTAGACGTCGGTGAAAACAGGCTCTTTCCCAAAAATGGAGAGGGAATATGCAGAGACTGATTCGGCAGGCGCGATGGTGGCGATCTCATCTCCAGTCGCACTGCCGTTCTGGTGCATCAGGCCGGGAGGGGTCAATTGACAGGCGGATCGTGCATCGACCCTTTTCTGTGGCTGGGATAATAGGTGCGAAGGGGTGATATGGCTGGGCGAGTACGTGAGACGGGAAATACTTGCTGGTTCTGCGACATTCCACGATTTTTGAGGAGGCTCTAAAAAAGTGAATAGTCAACTTCGTTGATTTCCGCGGCATGTGACGGTCCCCAGTGGGTAGCAAGGCGGATAGAGTCGAAGCAGGGCATGTGGGTGATGATGACGTTCACGGAGACGACACGCGCTATCCTGACAGTCTCGCAGTCAATGCCTCTACACGTTTCTGTCGCGTCTTCGGCTAGCCACCTTGAGTTTTCACTTAAGTAGGTGCCGTAGAGCCAGATAATGCACGCCAAGAATGGCACTGGATAAGTATAAAAAAGGCATGACTATACATTTTCTCAGTTGATTGCATCCATATCGCTCTCAAATTCCTACTTAAGGAAATCATGTTTCTCCTTAGGTCTATCAAGATGGTTCTTAACGCTACCAAGTTGTATCCAACGGGCGCAATCGCTCATAAAATATGCGTGCTGTTCAGTCAGTGAAAAATCCAGTCAGCCAATAGCATCTCACTGTGTTTTCATTTCTGATAAGGCTTTCATCTCAATAGTTCACAAGCTACATAGCAGAGCCTAGTCCGGAAAAGCGCCAGATGCGTTTCGCCCTATTGGGGCTCGTCAGTGGCGCGCATTCCCTCGCTCCGCCACCGCGGACCGAACCCATGACCGCTAGAGGTGGATGCTAACTAGCCAGCAGCTTAAGCCACTGAGCCATGGGGGACATTGGCTGGGATACATAATTTGCAAACTAACTGGGATATAGCACCACCTATCTACCACTGTCACTGACAGTGGTTAGTCTGTAAGGTGATGACGTCCTCTCACTAGACGCTATATCCATAGCATCTGAAACTAGGAGAGGCTTTCTTTATTTTCATTTGTCACACTATCAACTAATTTGGGATTGGTTACTTAACGAACAGTACGCATTTTTAGGAGTGGTGGCGTCTGTTGGACGCAATTTGAGAGCATTAAGGGTCATCTTGAGAGATCTGAGGAGGAAGATGATTTAAAGAAGATGCAGTTAGCTGAGAAAAAGCAAATTACATGACAACTGCAGCGTAAGATGAGAGGGTTTAATGCCAAACGATGAATAAGGGACCTCAACAGCACCCATTCGATGCGATCAGCAGATATGGGCAACCCTTCGCACATGCCTGTGATCACACACCCCACACACACATATTCATATTTCGAATGTCACCCAGAAAAGAAAGGAGAGGTATAATACGATTGTTCAATTGTTCGCGGAGATTGGCGGTTTTGTCGCAAACGTTTCACCACCATATGAGGTGGCATCCTCAGTGCAGTTAGATGCGGCGTGCAATCTTACTAAATTAATCGTCCATCTGTGATCAAGCTGCTAGTGACTTTTGAAAGTGGCAGTGTCGATTTGCGTCCCGTGACCTCTACCTACTTTCCCAAAGCCTAAAGTTGGCGCCTGAGTTGTTCTGCCCTAAACCGAGTAACAAAATGTTCGTTCTTTCTTTCTGTCGAAGTGGTCCGCATAATAAATCGATGTCGACGGGCATGCTGATTGAGTTTTTCGTCGAGAACTAAGCTTCCAGGAATTCCTCTTCTTTTCTTGTTCCACCCCGTACCAGGACTTCTGTATTGCTAAAATCGAAGTTATGTCCTTCTTCATCTAAGTACAATGAAACTAATGACGATGCATAATGCTCTACACAGGCTCTTCTATGTTCTTGCATCCTTGTTATCAGTTTTCTTCCCGTATGGCCAACATACTCCCTTTCGCAATCTCGGCAACGTATTTTGTAAACCACATTGCGTCGTTTATGCGCATGCAGTTTTTTTTTTCGTTTTGAAAGAGTTTTCTCAACCTGGCAGTTGGTTTGTGTGCCACGATGAGATGATGCTGTAATATTGCACGCCGCGTCTCACTGCACTGAGGATGCCACCTTGCATGGTGGCGAAACGTTTGCGACAAAACAGCCAAGCTTGGAGAACCAATGAACAATTGAATCATCAACCCGATCTACCAGTATTCCGAAGTATAATAATTTCACCAACGGCATTTCGGTGATGTAAAACTGTAAAGAATCGACTCTGCGCTGTGTATGGGTTATGACTTCTCTGTACAATGAAATGGATTCTGTGCATAGTGCTCGGGAAGTTCAACTCGCATCTAAGAACTACCAACCGAAATCGAAGTGAGCGCCGACTGAGAGCAGCCAGTAAAGACAAAAAATCAGTTACAACTTTGGTAGCTAGTGTTGTGAGTATCTCGAACAAAAACGATGGAACGTTTTCCTCGACCAAATGGAGCTGATCGCAAGGATTCAGATTCAGAAAATCGGTGGACGATTAGTCGAGTGCAAGTGTGAAACTGTAGCGTTAGCAGCGATTCAAACATGTGTTTAAACAGCGATCGGAAGATACCTGACCAAGAGTCAAAGTAAGTGGTAAACTCACCCCGAACCCAATTGGTCTTTCAGTTCATATTTCGTCTCGGGATTACCTTTGGAAACGATACTCTCTAAATAGGACAAATGACATAGGTGGTATATTAGTGAAAACTTACGGTAATTGGGTGATGTGAAGCGGCAAGCTGTACAATTATTTGGAGGTTAGAGTCAAGTACAGGTAGTACCACTGCAAGTCACAGTAACGTGTAAACAAAACATACCAATGATTGACACCACACAGAAACCAATAAGAGATGTATCCCTGCAGTAAACTATCATCTAAAGAGCCACCTATACACCAAGGAAAGCACTAAGTGGCTGTTTCGACTGATTAGGACTCGCGCTTTACGTACATCTTAGAACCCCCACCAGGAACCGATCCAAGAGATCACGGGTTCGGTTGCTGGTAGGTCCGGAGCATGCGCGCTACGGATGAGTCCCAATAGCACGATACGGCCATCTAACCCTTTTCTGGAATTAGGAAGCTATCTACATGTTGACCAAATATCACGGACCATCTCCAACTCACATTGAAAACTTCCCACATATGAGTAAGGGAATTATTAAAAAACCAATCAACCGAAGGAAAACATGGGTAGAAATGACGGTGGAACTATAAAAGCTGACAAATTTTTTGAGCAGAGTAGCGCATATTTGAGAGGCAACACTTCAGTCTTCAGTAGACCACAATGTGACGACAAGTCAGTGTTTACAAGACGGTCACTGGTAGGCTTTTCTAGTCCAGTAGTCCGGGCAATTTTATCCAACGGACATATTAGTCAGTATACGTGTAATCCGAGTAAATACATGAGGTACGTGACAAAAGAATAGCTCTGAAGATCAGTGGCACGCTACACCACTTTCAAAAGTGAAGCCACCTGAGATTCAAACGCAGATGCCATTGTAAGTGATCACTTCACATGTATTTAAACAACGTGCAGTCTCAGTAAGACTGGCGCTTTGATGCAATAAAATTCTAAACATCGTGTTCATAAATCACATGCAGAAGTTGTTACAGTTCGATTTGCATTGCCACAGTCGGGTCGTACATTACAAGTTGATACCCATCATCATCATCATCATTATACACGTTAGCTAGAGGTTTAAAGCACCTCAGCGACTGTCGCAATATATAAAAGAAAAAGAAAATAAATACAACAGTTGCATGCTTGCTGAGCTAACAGCAACAGATGGGTATCGTTCCGGAAAGCTATCTGCCAGCTACTAAGCAACAAGAAAAGTTATTATGTAAAATTATATTACACTACGAAATGAGACTGAGGTTGGAGATGGAAGGTTAAAAAGAATGGGGAGGGGCAAAGAAACTCACCCCAGGGACGCCATTGAAGTCGCCTCATAGTGATCTCAGCAAGTGTACCCAGCCAAACGTGTTCATCGTCTTTCGGACCCCAAGCAGGAAGCCGTGAAGCTCAACCGAGGCCAGCTCCGAAGTGAGGGCCTTCATTCCTCTCGACCAAGTCATCGCTTGGCCACCCCACCTCTTCTTCCATCCAGACCCCCGGGGAGCAAACAATGCACATCGCGGGAGTCGGTGGGCTGGCATGCGCAACACGTGGCGGAACCATCGGAGCTTGGTGCGTGAAATGATGGCACTGAGCGGTTCAGTTCCTTTTCCTGTGCCGTAAATAAGACGCCGAACACGCTCGTTGCTCACGCAGTGTTCCCACCAAATGTGAGCCAAACTGCAAAGGCACCGGTGGTCGAGCGTAACTAGCCTCTTTATGCCTGCTGATCTAAGGGGCCAGGTTTCGCAACCGTACATTAAGGCTGAACGTACCACTGCATTGTATACTCTACCCCTCGGGAAGAGGTGATGTCGCGCCGCCGCCATAAGTGGCGAAGATTAGCAAAATCACCTCGAGCTTTTGATACTCGGTTCGTGATCTCATCTTAAATCCAAAGAGCGCTGATACAATTTCCCAGGTAGTTGAATTTCTGAACGACTTCTAGCTGACCCACATCAACGGCCAGCGCAGGAGACGATCCTTAGCAATCTTGGAGGAAAGTCTTGCACTTCGAGGGTGCAAAGCAAAGCACGAAGCGACTGACAGCTAGCACTAGTCTGTCTAATGCAACTTAGCACGTCTGCGAGCTATCACAGATGAGGGCAATGTCGTCACGATACTCCAAGTCAAGAAGTCGCTCTCTTGGGGGTAGCTCCACACCTTTTAAGTCGTGTCCTGTAAATGTAATCTCCATGACTTCCTCAATAGGGAAGTTGAAGAGAAGAGGTGACAACGGGCATCCTTGTCTCACGCCGCTGGAGATATTAAAGAGCGATGACAACTTGCCGTAAGCCCACACTCTGCCCGTGCTACGCGCGTATAATGCTCCAATAATATTTACATATTTCTCGGGCACACTTTTCCTGAGGAGACAGTTCCACAGGGCACATCGATCAACCGAATCGAAGGCACCTTTGATGTCGAGGAACACGACTACGGTGGGCCGCCAATATGTGTAACGGTGTTCCAACAATTGACGCAAAATGATGTGGTCGATGCAGCCACGACCCTGACGAAACCCGGCTTGCTCCTCACGAAATATGGCTTTCACGAGCGCCAGTCAGTGTGAAGGATTACAGAGGCAAGTAATTTAGAGGTGATGGGGGTCAGACTGATTCCTCTATGGGTGTCGCATTCCGAACGCGAGTCTCCTTTGAAGATGGGAACAATAACGGATCGGCTCCAGTAGCTTGGGACAGTTTCCTGCTCCCACAGTTTCACTAGTAATTCATGTAAATCATCAGGAGCAGAGCCCCTGAATTTTAAGAGGGTTGGATGAAGATCATCTGGTCCCGCGGCTATAGTTAACTTCAACAGTCCGAGCTCACATTTGATTTCTGAACAAGAGGGTGGATCCAAAGGCACAGCCCAGGGAGCAAGGCGATCACTGGCCGGTGAGGAATCGAACAATTCTGGCCGATAAAATTGCTTTCCAAAATGCTAAACCCAAAGCTCTAAACGTTTTGACAAATTGTGAGTAGGCTGTCTACTCTCGTCACAAGTTGTTTCACTAACACCAGGTCTCCTGCTGCCCGCTTCCCGTAGCAGACGGAATAACTTTCGATGGTTACCAAGGGCAGCGGCCGCTTCTATCTATGACGCACGAAGAGACCACCAAGATTCGCGGTCTCTCTTCAGGTTAGCACGGAGTTTTGCCCGAAGCACTTTACGAGTTACATTGTGTGCACCTCCAGCCGGAATATGCCGGCGAGCATCGATAAGTTCCAATGACCGCAAAGAGACCAAATATCCATGTTGGTTATTAGACATACCACATGAGGATTCGCCTGCTGCTAGTAAGGTCTGGTGAACATACGACCAGTGATCTTCAACTGTCTCCAATGAGCGATTACTCAACTCGCATCTCAGCGTACTTTGATAGGCATTCAGAACAGCTGGCTTTGTCAGTTGGCTGGTGTCAATGCGGTCACAGCGTCGTCGTGGGCGTCCGCCAAAACGCATCCGCAAGTCAGCACACACAAGTGCATGGTCGGTGTTCACACATGTGCTCCAAAACGAGCGACAGTTCTGACTGCAGCCTCTCCAGCAGTAACTGATAGCAATATGATCGATCTGCGTCCAAGGCTGGTGGGCGCCAAGTCACCCTCCGGCAGGTACTATGTCGGAAGTTAGTGTTCGCAAGAAATAAGCGGGCATCTTCACACAAATGAAGTAACCGCTCACCGTTATCATTACAGGAGCCTACACCGTGCTGACTGCCCAGATTCATTTCAGAAGTGGACAACTTTCCAACTTGAGGGTTCAGATCCCCAGCCAGCACCACAGTGTCCGTGTTTCTTCTGTGGCAAAGGAGATGGGTCAGTTGGCGGTAGAAGTCGTTTTTTACCGAACCATCGCTACAGTTTGTGGGCGCGTAGGCAGCGATGATGAATAGACACTTATTAGTCCCGCGCAACTTCGAAGCATTGAACGAGCCAGCCAATCGGACCGCACACATTCGGCTACTGATTGGAATTCAATCAACCGGAGCAGCTTCAGCCCGGGAATAAATTTTAATCAATACTAAATGATGTAGGGAAATATGAACCTATGAAAAACTGTTAGGATGTGGTGGTAGTTAAGTCCATCAACAAACAATAAACCAATTATCAAGCAGTAATGGATAGAGGAAGAACAGATCGCCCCATTACGAAAGCCAGAAATGAAAAAATTAGGAATGGATAGCGTCATTTGTCCAAGGAAGGACGAAATCAGTCATGGAGCGCAGTACTGGGAGTTAACAACACTCAAAACAGTCCACTTCGGTCCCGAAGATCGGAATGACTAAGGCTTACTTTATGGAAGATCAGAGTATACATTGAGAAAACAAATCGCAATACAAAAGAGCAAGAAGGAAAAAACATTTTAAAGGGATAACCTGAATTCGGGCATTTCAAGTATTTGAGTCAGTTGTTTACATACATTACGTGAAATAATGGAGTTGCGTACAAGAGGAAGCAATGTGAAAGGACATTCCGTTTGCAGAAAAAGTAGTGACAACCTCGTCAAGGTAAGGCGGGGTTCGTTTTAAACTCAGTGTGTCGGAACGAAGTGGGTTTCGGCCGCCGAATCGTTGAAGCCACAACAAACCGAACCAAACGGGCAGTGCAGTTTCAGCTAATTATTCTGAACGGTTAGTCAGGACTTCGGTTCGTAGTACAGTCTAAGATATGCTGCGCAATAGAGCTGACTAGCTGTTTATAACCCTTGATGAGCATGTTTCGTGGAATGCACTCTGAAATCCCAGTCCGGCCAACATAGACGCATCATGGAAAACAATTGCTTACCTCACACTGATGTCCTCTATAGTCGAGATGGAATAAATAGTAACAGCTATACGCAAGAAACCAGATGCAGAAACTTCTCTGACTGACTGGGCGACTGCGCCATGTCTGATCAAGTCCCCAACCACAGATGTGAACTATCCTGGGGACCTAATCTACGAAGATGGCACGCATCAGCCTGGCAAAGTCTTACAGTCAGTTTCTTCGTGCCATTATGCCACGTTACCGACTTGCTACCCCGCGGTTTCGACGAACTTGGTG